ACTATGCCACCAGGGAAGTCCTAGGTTTTCCTAATTTACCATTCTCTCCACTTTCTCTCTGGTCCACATTCCCTCTAGTAGATCACTTTTCTCCTCCATCTCGACCTGCCTACCTGTTCACGGTTATACGTTCAAGTTTCCGACTGACTTGTCTTCCTTGGTGCATCTAGGTACTCTTAATACCTGGATTTCAAAGCATGCCTTCCTGAGCAGTTGCCAAGCATTTGAGGCCATCGCGGGTGTAGTATTCTTGGAGTTCACCCTCATAGTTCTGTTCCCTTCATTACTCGGAAGACAGACTGCCCTTTCCAGGGTAATAACTGATAGCTCCCTTCGTCCCTCTTCTTACGCATGTCTCCTGTCCCTGGTGCTTAGGTGCTGATATATTGCTTAAGGTACCAGGCAGACGTGGTGGTTTAGTTGCTAAGTTTTGTCGGACTCTTGCAACCTTATGGACTATAGCCTGCCAGGCTCTCTGTCCATGGGATTTCCCAGGCAAGAATACTGGAGTGAGTTGCCATGCCCTCCTCCAGGGGATCTTCCTAACTCAGGGATCAAACCCAGGTCTCTTGCATTGCAGGCAGATTCTTTACCATCTGAACCACCAGGGAAGCCCATGGAAGAGATGACTCTCCTATTTTTGCCTGCTTCCTTGAGTGGAAACTGTACAAAGGATGCCTTCCAAAATTAGCATATTCTCTTTATGGCCCCGAGATCTTTAGACAGCTAGCTAATGCCCATCTCGTGGAGAGGGGGTATCCTAAGCCAGATATGATCCGATCCTATGACTTGATCTGTATCCTGCAGGGCATGGCCTTTCTCCATAACAGCATTATTGCATCCCATGGGAGTCTCAAGTCTTCCAACTGTGTGGTGGATAGTCGTTTCGTGCTCAAAATCACAGACTATGGCCTGGCCAGCTTCCGATCAACTGCTGAACCTGATGACAGCCATGCCCTCTATGCCAGTGAGGCCTTTTCCCACAACCCACTTCTGCATTACCCTCCCCTGGCCCTGATCATTTCCACTTAGGGAGGGTGGGAGAGGGAGATGGAGTGACAGTACTGCGGCGAGCATTATGCGAATGAGCTCACGTGGGCTTGGGGATTCCATCTTTGAAGACCTGGTTTCCTCTTTTCAGAGAAGCTGTGGACTGCCCCAGAACTGCTCAGTGGGAACCCCCTGCCGACCACAGGCATGCAGAAGGCTGATGTCTATAGCTTTGGGATCATCTTACAGGAGATAGCACTTCGCAGTGGGCCTTTCTACTTGGAGGGCCTGGATCTCAGCCCCAAAGGTAAGAGTCAATCTACTACCGAGTGCTTCCCCTACCTGGAGGACCTGTTCTTCAACCAAGCCTTTGATCACCCTCAGAGATTGTCCAGAAGGTCCGGAATGGTCAGCGGCCTTATTTCCGGCCAAGTATTGACCGGACCCAACTGAATGAAGAGCTAGTTTTGCTGATGGAGCGATGTTGGGCCCAGGACCCTGCTGAACGACCAGACTTTGGACAGATTAAGGGCTTCATTCGCCGCTTTAACAAGTGAGAGGGCATGACGGGGCAGGGGCTCCCCAGGGATAGAGGCCTCATCAGTCTTAGTGGATGAGGTGGGGTTGGTGGGGCCAAGAGGGTGGGCTGGGTAGAAAGCCCTGGGAGTCTTGAACATCTTGGAGCAGGTGCCATATCCTGTCCTCCTTCCAGGGAAGGTGGCACCAGCATATTGGACAACCTCCTGCTGCGCATGGAGCAGTATGCCAACAACCTGGAGAAGCTGGTGGAGGAGCGCACACAGGCCTACCTGGAAGAGAAACGCAAGGCTGAGGCTCTGCTCTACCAAATTCTACCCCAGTGAGACTTCTGACCCCTTCCTGAATTTTCCCTTGGTGTCTGCTGTATTGCTTTCTACCTCATCCAGCTTCTGACAACTCCCTTCCCAACCTTCAGAACCCTGCTTTGTCACATCTTGCTACTGTGAGCCCATTCTGGCTCTAGACCATGTTTTTCATTCTGTCTCCAAATGAGCTGTGCTGCCTTCTTCCTGGCCTCCTATCCCTTCTTCTTAGGATGCTGCTCTACCAGAGTTTCACTCCAGTGAATGTAGGTAGAACAGTCCCATCTTAGGACATTTGGCCTGCAGCCCAGGGATCCTCTTCCAACCCCCACCACGTGTCTACCCTATCTTGCTCTGGACTGTCATGACTTCCCAGCCACCTTCCTTCTCCTCCTCCAGGCTCAGCTTTCACGTTAGAACCCATCTCTGCTCCAGCCATACACTCCTCTCCTCTCCCTTTGCCCCCTTCTCTGAGTCTGGCTTGGACTGTACCCTTGCCTCCTAGTTCAGTGGCAGAGCAGTTAAAACGGGGAGAGACTGTACAGGCTGAGGCCTTTGACAGCGTTACCATTTACTTCAGTGACATCGTTGGCTTCACAGCTTTGTCGGCAGAGAGCACCCCCATGCAGGTGAGAGACAGGTTAGGGGCCAGGGGCGGTGGGGGGGCACCTAGGGGAGCTTAACTGGCGCATAGAGATCCTTGATAATAGGAAAGACTAGCTTGTTCTGGAGTTTCCGTATCTTGTCACGGCTCGTATGTTAAGAATTCTTAGAAAGTCAGGCACAAGTTTTAAGGCCTCTTCTTTCCCATCCCTGTTAGGTGGTGACACTTCTTAACGATCTGTATACGTGTTTTGATGCCATAATTGACAACTTTGACGTCTACAAGGTGAGAACTGGGGCTGCCCTTCCACTGACACTCCTTTAAAACCCAGTCTCCCGAACCCCACGTGCCTTACCTGCCCCGTGGTCAGCTTTCCTGCTTGAGTCTCTGGCATTCTAGTGCTGGAGTGCTGTTTATAGACAACTGAGGCTCTGGCGCTGTAGTTGTACATCCCAGTCTAATCCCTTGTGAATCCTTGAGCCTTCCCTAATCAGAACCATCACAAGATCTAGTCTGCCACTTTTTAACTGAGGGTATGGTCAGTCTAGCCATCTTTTCTCTTCATCCCCTCCAGACATGGAGGAAGTATACAGGATGTGGGTATAGAATGATATACTGGGGTGAAGGACAAGATATGTAGTGAAAGCTTTTTGTTGAAGTCATTGAGTCATTTAAGGTAGGCTTTATGGTGCTTGGGAATAAAAAACGATCTGACTTTGTGGCTGTGTGGCCTTGGGCAAGTAAGAGAAGCTCTTTGAGCCTCAGATGTTTTATCTGTATGATGGGAATAATAGACTTATTGTGAATAAGTGCCTAACATTGTGTAGATAATAAATACCCACTCTTGTCCCTTCCCTTTGGATTCACTCTGCCATCTCTTATTTACCATAACGAAGAATTCCCATAAACCCTTTATTTGGATTTACCAATTGTATTTCCCATTTGCATTATTTAAAAAAAAATCTATATATCCATATAATTATTTTCTGAACCTTGTGCAAGTAAGTGGCAGACACAGTGGCCCTTCATTCCTAAATAAATCTCTGTGTAGTTCCTAAAAACCAGGGCCTTCTCTTATACTGCTTCAGTACAGTTAACAAAGCCAAGTGCCTGCTTTCTTTCCTTTGACACTTTGGGCTATGTAGGGCTCATTTCATTGGGCCTGCTTCTCCCAGATTCTCGGGACCGGGGCACTAACTTGCCAGTCAGTGTCTGGCTTCCCGGCTGCCAGGATGACTCATGGTGTACTCAGCTTCTCTCCTCTTACTCTTCCCCACCCCCATTGATACAGATAGAGATGACCTTTTTATCCCCCTCTCAATCAGGTAGAGACGATTGGAGATGCCTACATGGTGGTATCTGGTCTCCCAGGCAGAAATGGTCAGCGTCATGCCCCAGAAATTGCTCGTATGGCCCTGGCATTACTGGATGCAGTTTCTTCCTTCCGCATCCGCCACCGACCCCACGACCAACTGCGGCTGCGCATAGGGGTCCATACAGGTAGCGCTGACTCTTCCTCCTGCCCTCGTGCCCACCTTCCCCAGGCTCTTCCAGCCTGTTTCTTCTAACAGGGCCCGTCTGTGCTGGGGTCGTCGGCCTGAAGATGCCCCGCTATTGTCTCTTCGGAGACACAGTGAACACTGCTTCCCGAATGGAGTCTAACGGTCAAGGTGAGACATCAGCCTCAGCCTCCATCTGGGTTGGCCTTTTCTTCCTTTCAGACTTCCTCCAAATATCTCAATTGGATTGACCGAAGTTCCTGATTGCCCTGCCCTTGGACATATTTTGGTTCTAATGCATGTGCCCCAGGAACACTGAGACCCCCCTGGGGATGGTGGTCGGGTAAAGCTCTCTCTGATACTGCAGTTCTTCAGTTGCCTTTTCTTTGATTCTTCTTTCCGTCATCTGTCCTGTCCTGCCCCAGCCCTGAAGATTCATGTCTCCTCTACCACCAAGGATGCCCTGGATGAGCTCGGATGCTTCCAGCTAGAGCTTCGAGGGGATGTGGAGATGAAGGTGATGGCAGGCCACAGGGAGTCATGGAAAGGGAGGATCAACGTGACTGTGGAGGCCATGGGGGAAGAGAGGGAGGTATGAGGAATAACAGAAGAATCTGAATTATCTCTGCTCCCCCAATTCCAGGGAAAAGGAAAGATGCGAACTTACTGGCTCCTAGGAGAGCGGAAAGGACCTGCTGGGCTCCTATAAACCCTACTTCTTCCTAAGTCAGACAATCCCCTGCTGCTGGTACCTGGGTGGGCAGTAGCCATCATCTCTCCACACATCAGAAGTGGACAGTGTCACATGAGATGGAAACCAACATGCATAAAACCCCCACCTTATATGGAAACTGTTGCCTTTTGCAGCTCAGTCTTGTACATATATCCCTCTCTGGCCTGGTCCCCTTCCTCCCTACCTTCTGTAAATATCTGTATCTAAACCAGAATATTTTGGCCAAATATAAAACAAACAAACAAAAACAGTTATGTGTGACACGGTCTGCATTAGGGGCGGCTCCAAGGAAAGGTTCTGGGGTATGGACACAGTAACTCACAGAACCACTGAATCAGCAGTCTCAGGATGAGAGAACACTTTTTATGTAAAACCCTGTCACTAAGTACAGACCAAATTCACTTCCTCCCCACCTCTCCAGCACAGAGAGAAGGAGATTCCATGTTCCACAGCTACCTGCCTCCTCAGCCCTTAGACAGGAGTAGTTCAACCCCCTCCACCACCCTTCCCCCCTCCCTGACAGGCAAGGGAAGATATTTCTCCCTGGTGGGAATAACTCTCAGGTTCAAAGGGCAATGGCTGCCCCAGCGACAGAGGCACGGGCGTTGAGAAACTGCAGTTCTTCCGGAACGGCGTGTCTAGGGTCCTGATGTTACTGACACCCTGGAGGGGTGCCAGAATGAGGACTGGGCCCGCTCTGCACCACGCCGGGGCAGAACAGCCACCTCCCCTCCTCTCACCAGCACCCAGCACCCGGTCACCCTCACACACCGGAAGCTGTGGTGCCCTCTCTAGCCAGAAGGTTTCAGGCTGCTCTGTACGGTAGTCGTGGAGCTGTGAGGGAAATACCGCATGACTCTGGGCCTGAAGAGCTAACTCTTCAGCGTCGGGGCTGGCTGCTTTCCCACAGCCTGTCAGGGCCCGGCTGTGCACGGGTGGGGGGCGGGGGTGCCCGCACTCTTACCTTTGTCGGGGCAGGAGGCCCCACCTGCACCAGCTCCTTTTTGTAGTCGTGGTGTGTCACAGACTCGACCTCAGGCTCCTTCCTTGTGGGTTCCTGCTCTGCCTGCACCTCTTTACTACACAGGCCTGGGGAGTGTCAAGGGCATTCTCCCCTGACTTCTGTCCTCCCCCTCCCCATTTCCCTTCACCCAGCCTCTCACCAGATTTGTTGGCGCAAGAGCATCTCCAGTATGGCTTCACGCTTCCCTGGGGGAGGTCAGGGAATGGACAGAATAGAGGAGGCTGCTTAAGAAACAGGCCCAGAAGAAACAAAGTTGGGGAAATGAGGAAAAATTGGGTTTTGTCCTTATACCCCTTGGACAACCATAGGCCCACCTGATATTCCTCTCTTTTTTTCTCTACTGGACTCATTCTTGCCCATTCTCTCATGTTTCATACCTCGGATTGGCTGAGAGTGGCTTGTTGGGGGCTGGTATGAGTCTTTCTGGGTGGTGCAGGAGCACATAGGTGACTGTGGTTGCAGGGTCAGCAGTCCTCGGTGTCCGTGTCGGAAAAAGAAACTCTCAGAGCCATCCTGCATGACTGGGACTTGATCCAGGTAGTTGGTGGCTCTCTGTAGGCCCCAAGTTGAGTGACAGTGATATCCTTCCTTGTACCCACCCCCATCAACTGGGGGCAGCCTTCAAGAAAAGGGAGCAGGTCAAACCTTAATACCTCCTCCTCCCAGTTGTAGAGAAGGCACTGGCCCCGTGGCAGTGTTTCACTGAGAACCGTACTCTTCCCTTCAACTTCGGGGGGCTTCCACAGCCCTCGGGCACCAGGTTCTGAGACTTTCAAAAATTTCCAGGATTGTTTCTGTGGCTCCCAGTGACAGTGGTGTTTGCAGCCGGTATAATTAGGGATAAGATCTCCCCTGGGGTTTCTGAAGCCTACAGGAGCAGAGAAGTTGAACCCAGGGCCATGGCCATGGCCTGGGCTATGCCTGGAATCAACAGCAGGACCAAGATCAGTGCCTTGACCAGAACCACCACCAGGACCCTGACCAGAGCCACCACCAGGGGTACCACCAGGACCAGAACTGGAGCTAGGTCCAGGGTCAGAGCTGGAGTCAGGACCAGGGCTAGAGCTGGAGCCAGGAACAGGGCCAGAGCTGGAGCCAGGAACAGGGCCAGAACTGGAGCCAGGAATAGGGCCACGGCTAGAGCTTAGGTCATTTGTAGTATAGGGATTCCCAGCAATACGGGAAACACCGACAGGCTGAAAACCGAGTCTCCCATGGCTTTTCTTGTAGGTAAATCTGGGCGCAGTGTAGCGCTCTGCCTGACTGTCAGAGGAGGGCTCCGTGAGCAGGTTCCCATGAGAGTAGGGGGCTGGGCTCTTGGTCGATAATGCAGCTGCTCTGGCAGTGGAGGCGGCTGTAGCAGCTGCTGAAGCCGCGGCGGATGCAGCTACCAGGGCCGATCTATGACGGCCATCCCAAGAAAAGGGATCGGAACTGGACCCTAGTCCGTCCGAGCTGGGCTGTAAGTCTAAAGATCTAGGAAAAAAAAAAAAAAAGTGAAAGCGTCAAAGCTGTCAGAAGCGCAGCAAAGTCTGTTAACTTTCCTTGTCCCCTTCCACCCGCAGCCAGAGCTGTGGCTCTCACCGCGACTGTGATCTGTCAGTAGACTCAGAGGTCTCCATCTTCCGACGCCAGCTACCGGGTTGCCATAGAGACGGCAAATCTTGCCAGGAGACTGCGCAGAACTAGAGCTGGGCGGACGTGGAGGGTGAGAGTGCTGGCAAGTGCTCTGCGGGGCGGAAGTCTTAAACCCGCTGTGGTTTGAAAGGGCTGCCTTCCGTCCGGATTCCCTTCCGCGTCAGCCCGGCTCTTAAAGTTCCGCTGGCTTCCGTACCTAAGCAGACCTTTTTAAGGTTTTCTAAGGTGGTTCTTTCGGAGAAAGCAATGGCAACCCACTCCAGTACTCTTGCCTGGAAAATCCTATGGACGGAGCAGCCTGGTAGGCTGCAGTCCATGGGGTCGCTAAGAATCGGACACGACTGAGCGACTTCACTTTCACTTTCATGCAGTGGAGAAGGAAATGGCAAACCACTCCAGTGTTCTTGCCTGGAGAATCCCAGGGACGGGGGAGCCTGGTGGGCTACCGTTTATGGGGTCGCACAGAGTCGGACATGACTGAAGCGACTTAGCAGGAGCAGCAAGGTGGTTCTTTGTGTTTTATAACAGGCACAGGGCTATGGTATCAGTCAAAAGCCTGCTTCGTGTGTTTATGCAGGGGCATTTTTTCAAAGCTTTTAAGGATGAAGAGACATCAGACAGTAGCTCAAAAACAAAATGGTGAGACATGGGGATTAGCCAAAGGATTGCCACTTTTTTTTTTGGTGTGATTATTTCTCTTCCAGTAAAAGGTTCTCACATGGACGATCCTCCTTACAGAGCCCCCCTTAGAATGTGGCTTGGCATGTGAATTGAGCAAGTCTTGGGATTCAATCTCTTTCTATTCATTCAGGCGTATTCCTACCACTACTTTTCTAGAAGCCTGACCCAGGTAGACCACGAGTCTTGAGCTCACAGATACATAGGAAAATGCTCCTTTACAGAATGGGCTTCCTTAAGTGTCTCAGACCATAGTCAAGGGGGATCATAGTCTTGACTCAGTTTTCTTTCCTATTTGTAGTATAAATCTTCTTATATTTAAGACAAGGATCCAGAATTGACAGAGAGCGAGTTTATTAGCATCACAGGGTGCTATTTTTCCCCATCCCATCCAAACATCCAGGTCTGGGGTCCCTGGTCATTTGGTAGGTTCAACCTGGAGGCCACTGGAGCTGTCGGCCCCCAAGTACGTGAATGTGTAGGTGGTACACAGACTGTGCACCCAGCTTGCCATCGTTGATCACTGAAATGGGAGTTTTGGGTTAGGGGGTGAGGATCATGGGAAGGTCAAAGAATGGTCACAGGGAGGGGCAGGTATGAGAATTCAGCGTCGAGAGAGGGGCTCAGGGGCCAAACATCACTCACCAAGTCGGTATCCATCACCCAGCCCCTCAGCCTTTGCTGTTTTCTTGGCCACAAGGAGAAGGTGTCCGAGAAGCTACAGCGAAAGGGGAGGGAGACAGGTTGCTTCATTTACAGGGAGCAAAATTTCTAGAGGAATACAGGGCTCCCCCAGCCAAACCCTGGCCCTGTCCTTCCCACCTGTTGGTCTTCCTCTTCAGCCTGGCTAATCCGAGGAATGGGCTTCTTAGGAATGACCAGAAAGTGCACAGGAGCCTGAGGGGCCACATCCCGGAATACGAGACACTGGGAGCAGTGACAGGCCAGAGGCCACCATGTTACTTCCACAGGCTGGGTGGTATTGATGAAATTTCTAGGGAGTGGGTCCTAAGGGCACCGCACCTGCTGGTCCTCATACAGGATGTCAGCTGGGAGGCTCCGATCCAGGATCCGGGAGAAGATGGTTGGGGCTGCCCCCCCAGGAGCTGCCTGCTGGGCCTTGGCAACTTCATTCCCATCAGTCACACCTGCAGCTCCTCGGACCTGCAGGTGGGTCAGACACACCCAAAGGAGGAAGTTGGCAATACCTCTCGTGTCCTTAGGTGGGGCTGGCAGAGGCTGGACTGACAGCCATTAACTTCACCCTTCTAAGAACCCATTAGTGGTTCCCACTCAAAGGGAGAATTCCTCGCTTTCAGAGTATCAGCAGCAGGGAGCAGGTCCAGATAGTGCTGGGCCCGGTTAGATAACAGGCAGTGTGACAGGGCAGGACTCAGCAGTGTGACTGAGTGCTACTCCTGAAGCACTAAGGAAATCTATCCCAGTTCAGGGAAAAGGGTGCAGAGTGAGAACCCCGGAGGCTTACGTCCTGGTTCCTATTTTACTGCTTTTTTTTTTGTTTAGTAGTGTGTGTTTAGTCACTCAGTCCTGTTCGACTCTTTGCGACCCCCTGGACTATTGAATTACCTTAGCTAAATCCCTTCTCTCAGCGTCAGATATAAAGGGGGTGATTTGTATCATCTCTTAAGACTACTTTGGATCTCTTTGTAATAGGTTTCCACTTCCATTACTTTTTGTCTGATCTTTATGCTGTGTTACCTGTTTTACTTAGGTTTAATACAACTGCCCTGTTTGACACAAGGGCGTCTGGGTGTCACACCTGACCTCTTACTGTGAATTTTGCCTCCAGTCTTCCTAAGTCAGTGGAGAGAGGAGTTAAGTGCACACAACCCCAGCCCCAGGGAACTGAGGGTAAGTCCCAGGTTCCCAGGGGCTGAGAGAAGGCTGAAGTCAGCGGTGTCACAGTGTGGGAGAAAGGGACGAGGTGCATCTGACTCCTTGAATCGTTCTAGTAAATGGGGAGAAGAATGGCTCCCAGGCGAAAAAACAAATGGCTCCCTCTAATTCTGCAGGGAGCACTGAAGAGCCGCGGGGTGTAGGCCTTCGGTTGGCTGGGAGAGGGCAGCACACGGTGCAGTGACCTTGTGTCGACCTCGGGGTCAGGGCCATCGCCGGCTCGTTTCCCCCGCGGCGAGGTTTTGAGAGGCCACCGCGACCATCAGTCCGACCTCAGCGCAGCGCCCTGGAGCCTGCGCTTCGGGAGAGGCAACGTACCCCGCCGGGCACTCAGGCTGCGGTCCCGCGAGGCCTTAGGGCTGCGCAAGCCGGGGGGAGCCGAGGAGGAATGCAGTCCCCGGCCCTGGAGGGGGTCAGAGCTCGCAGGACCCCTTCCTCGCCCCACAGCCACCTCTCACCTGCACCCCCCGAGGCCCTGCCACAGCCACCGCCCGACGCGCCACGCAGAGCCCGGCGGCCAGCACCACGGCCGCTGCCATCTTTCCCTCGGCCGCGGGAACCTCCCACCTGGCCCAGCACTCTGGCTCTGCTGCCTGCTGAGGTGGGGCGGCGGGGAGCCGGCGAGCACTGCCATTGGCCGCGGCCGAGGCCGGAAGGGAACTCCGTCATCCCATTGGGTAGCGTTCCTGGGCGCACTCCACTGGCTCCGCCGCCACGGTCGACGCGGGATCTTTTCCTCCCATTGGCTTCTTGTGCCAACTCGAGGGTGAATTTTTTACTCCATTGGCGTCGTCGTCTAGTCAGAGTGAAAGTTCCTTTACCATTGGGTCCCCTCACTAGTTTTCGCTGTGAGATAGTTTCTCACTCTATTGGAAGGACTGAGACACCTGGAGGTTGGATTTGCCTCCAATTGGCTCTCAACACAAAGTCGGCCCATTTTAGGTTGCGGCTCCCGGGTAGTGGGGCTTTTACCGTATTGACACTGCCTATTCGGGTCGGGCCCCTATTGGTGGGCTGAGAGGAAGGGGGCGGTGCTCCGTCACCTGCCGCTCAGAAGCTCATTGGCCAGTAGGAGGGCGGGGTTTGGAGAGGTGGCCACTCGGTGCTTATTGGCTCCAGGACACTAGTCCGGAAGTTCCAGACCCCCGGAATACCCGGGAAAGAAGCGGGTGGGGGACGCCTGGCGAATAGGGCTGAAGGTGAATAGGGACGTGGTCTTTTAACTGGTGGGATAATTACCCCGTATTTCCTCCACAAACAGTTTCAGCCCCTTGACCATTTCAAAGATTAAAAAAAATTTTTTTTTCCTTTATTTTTATTAGTTGGAGGCTAATTACTTTACAATATTGTAGTGGTTTTTGCCATACAGTGACATGAATCAGCCATGGATTTACATGTGTTCCCCATCCTGAACCCCCCCCCCCACCTCCCTCAAAAATGTTAACTTATTCGTCTGAGGGCAATTCCTCCTTAGTTTATGTGCTTGTTCACTTCAAGACTAAAGGTTCTGCAGTTTGTTTTCAGAGCGGTTTTGCATTTTGCTTTCTTTTTTTTTAACGGGCGGGGCCGGAATGTCCTGTCTTTGTTGCACGACTAATAAGCAAAGGAATATGTGTCCAATGTCCTTTCCTGTTCAGAATAAGTATGTGATACGGTTCGCTCAGTGCCTGGCATTTTCAGTGAGTCAGGCGTGTTCGAAGGACGAGGGGAATTGCCTCAGGGCTAGGTTAGAAGTATATTTTGTTCTGCTGGAATATATATTTTTTGACATCAGAAACATGGGATCACAAAATGCTAATATAATATACTCAAACCAAGTAAGTTTTAGTCTGATGTTTAATACAGGGCAAAAGTCACCACTGTGTCTTTTGTTTTAAAGCGGATGGCCTGAGTTATTTGTGGAATGGATAACATTTGGTGTTTTCTTTCATTTCCTTTTCCATGATATATAATACATATGTATTACATATTACATTCTTATTCCCCTTTTCACAATTTCCCATAGTATTACGTAGTCTATATAAATACTTTGTAATGGCTGCATAATATTAATACTTCTTTAAATGAGTTTATCACAGTAACCATTCTTTTATTGTTGACTGCTAGTTGAATTGGTTTTAGTTAATGGTCATCATGGTGCTAATTCCATAATAACTAGTAATAAATTCTACTTCTGGAGATAGTAATGATTTCTTTTGAATAGCCATATTAGAGAGTCTTTTCTCCTTCCGAAGGCAGAAGACCCTGCGATTGCCCCCAGGAGTTCTAGCAGTCAGAGTTGCATTCCTTTCCTTGGAAGAATAGATGACCCCGCTAAATGTGGGAATGTACATTGGCCTTTTCTGTGCCCTGGAGGCTGCAGTAGTCTGTGTGCCTGTGGAGACCGGCAGGAGATCAGAGGTGCTGGGATGTAGGAAGAGGAAACCAGCCAGGACTGGTAACGTGAGTACAAAACACTTTGAAACTGGTTATTTCTTTGGGTTCTTAAAAGCCACAGGTGGCACATAGGTTATCCTATTTTATAGACCCAGAAACAGAGGCTCTGAGAGGGAAAGTGACTTGCCTAAAATCATAGAGCCCATTACTGTGAGAATCTGCTATTCTCCATTAGAATCATGTATGGGCTTCCTAGTCTCTCCCACGCACTCACCCTTTCTTGGCCCCTGGCCCCCGGATTCTCTGCTTCAGGCTCTTGTGATCACTTGTAGCTGCTCTCTGAAAGCTGCAGCACTCTGTGGGTTCTGGCCACTGTCTCCTGTACTTTGATCCCTACCACTGCATCTGCTACTGGGCCTCATTAGAGACTTCTGTTCCTTTTTAAAAAAAATCTGTTGATTGCATCCTGGCTTTACTTTTTTTTCTTATTTGTGTGGTCAGCTCCCTCCACATCCTCAAGCCTTCTTTTGGCTTTTTTTCTTCCTCCCTGACACTTTTCCCATCACCACCATTAATCTAAATATTTTGCTTCTCTGCTTCTCTGACTTGGTTCCAGTTTCCAACTATACCTGAATCCTCAGTTACCCACCCATCAGATTTTCTCCAGTTCCCTTCATTAACCTTCCCAAGCCTTTATCCCTCTTCCTGTCTTCTACTGCCCCCCCCTTATCCCTTTCCTCCCCCACCAGAAACTGACCTTGTCTCCTATGTTCACAGGGGAACTTCCACAGAATTCTACTCCCTGCAACTCAGTGAGGGCCCCATCCTTTCTTCCTTCTTCCTGGTCCCAGGAAGTGGTGTTTCTCCTGTCCAGACTGAATCCCTTCACCTCTGCCTTTACCTCATCCTCTCCTTCTGTCTTTGGGATCTGGCTTCCTTAGGCATCTCTCTTTTTCTATTGTATCCTTCAAGGTCTTTTTCTCTACTGGTCTCTCCTAACTACAAAAAATGCTTTTTTCCTAACTAAAAATTGCTTCCTTGATTCCACATCCCCCCTGTAGATATTGTCTGACTTCTTCCCGGCTCTTTTCATCTAAGCTTCTTACAGAAATTCCTTCACACTTACTGTTGTTTGGTTCCTCTCTCCACTGCACCACTGAAACTGCACTTTCTGAAGTCACCAGACTTTCTAATTGCAGATCCAATGGACATTTTCAGTATTTATCTTCCTGGAGCCCCCAGCTATATCTGACATCACTGCTCCTTGAAATCCCTCCCTCCTTGGCTTCCTTGAAGCCATTCTCTCTTCCTGATGCCAGAAATAGCCTTTTGAATGTAGGTGTGGTGGAGGCAGATGGTTAGATCTACCCTGTCTCCTGCCTGGAGCTCTCTCTTGCTCCCCTGGAGGTGCTAACTCCAAGGTCCTAGGGTGTCTGCCCCAGGCTGGGCTCTATCTGCCTCATACAGAGTCAGTCAGATTCCAGTGGTTTTCTCTTTATTGCTGATCTGGGCCAGGCTCACAGAGGCCTGCGCCAGGTGTTGACAGTGTCTGTCCCTGGAGGAGGGAAGAGCAGAGGTGAAAAGGTCAGCTACGGGGCTTAGATGGAGGGCTAGGCTGGACGTCGCGTGGGCTAGGGAGCCCTGGGGGACTAGGGTGAGAGCTGGGATGGCCAGAAAGCCCCTGCTTCTGGAGGGCCTCGAAGTCAGAGTTGTTGATGACAGCTTCTCGGAGGGTAGGCATCTCTGCAAAAGGCACATAGTCTGCTCCTGGGGGTATAAGTCAGTGCAAGTGTGGGGTGCAGGAAGGAGGGGCAAAGTAGTCCTGGGTGGGATGGCAGAGGGCAGGAGTGCCTTCAGCTTGGCTGATTACAGACCCTTGAGTGGGCCCTGATCCTAGGTGTCTCTCACCATGTGGCCTCCCTCCTCGCCGCCGGGTCTCCTCAGTCTCAAAGAACGTCTCGTGTTCCTCCCAGCGCCGGTCACAGGCCGCACAGAGGAAATTAGACTCAAAGCAGCTGCAGCAACAGCCTAAGGCAAGGGGGCAGCCAGGGAGAGTGCAGGGAACTGGGGCTTCCCCAGGGGCTGCCCACATCCTCACATCCTCCTCACCAATTGCATGCCCAAGTCTCTCCTCCCCACTCCCCACCTGCATCCCCAAACCACGTGCAGTCTATCCCAACCCATGCCCACCCCTGCACTCCGCTCACTGGAGAAGATACCTTTGACCCTGCAGGAATGGGACCCAGTAGCTGTGTGGTCTTCATGGCTGTGTTTGCAGCGACATTGGGCCCTCCAAGCCTTGGGGTCAAAAGTGGCCCGTCTCTTGAGCCAGAACTCACCCACCTCCTCTGGGCGTGACGGGATGAAGCAGAACATGAGGCAGTGGCACTGGCCCACGTTGCAGGGCACGGATATGTCTGTGAAGAGGGTCAGACCAGCAGCTGACAGGGCCTGGCCTTCCCATGTCAACCTCTCCCCAAACCAACACACACACACATGCTCTCACACAGCTCAACACAGGACGGAAGACAGTTACCCTCCACACCTGAGATGATCTGGTGCTCTCTCAGCAAGTGTCCACAAAAGCACTTGGACTCATCCCCAATCCGGAAACAGTCCCATAGATAATGGGGGCAGCGCCAGCCAATATAGAGACCTGGGTATGGAGGGATTGAGTACTAAGGGAAAGTAACAGGGAAAAATAGCCTAAGCTCCTCCCAAATTGTTCTTCTCTCTCCCCCGATGTGTCTGTGTCACCACCCACACATCCTCCTCCCTGCCCCTTTAGACTTTTTTTCAAGGTTTGCTCATCAGCCCACGAGTGTCTTCAGAGCCCGTCCCACCCGAGGATCCACTCCACCTGTGTCGGCCTGTGACTGCAGACAGCCTTCATTTCTGAGCAGGAAGATTATTATAAGTGAGCTTCTGTGTGATGATGCCCATGTATCTAGCTGTGTTCTCTGTGACTGTGGGATTCTCATCTCCTCCCCTCCCAACGCTAGAGCCCACCTTTGCTTGGTTTCCTTGAAGTGTCTAAGGCGAGAGAAAAGGAAGATGACGGGCCAGGTGCAGAGCAGGTGGTGGGGATTGGCTCCTAAGGAGCGTGGTGTTGAAAGGACCTGAAGAGGAGGAGGTGGGGCCGCCCAGTGCCACAAGGAGGCGGGCTTCCCTCACTTCTGCAGGCTGGCACCATCACATGTCCCTTCCACATTC